TCGGGGGGGCCAGTTCTCTTCTGGCCAGACGAAACCAGCATGGCGTGGTTTAATTCCAGGCTGCAACACAGGTCATATTGTGCAGAGGACTCGTCTGGTTCCCGTGGTCTTGTGCTGATGGTCGTCGAGGTGACGAGGTCTTTGCAGGGGATCTGTCTCTGGGGTGCATCTAGCTGACATGGTCTACGCTGACATTCAGGGCTGTAGAGGTTGTCTCTAGGTGCTGATCCACCATCTGGGCTGGATACGGACTGGATCCGGGTGACTGCAGTGACCATCTGATCTGGATACAGACTGTCCATTTTTGGGTGAACTATCCCTTTAAGTATTATTTTGGGCTATATTTAAAGGCAGCATTTTTTAAGAAGCGTAGTTATTTTTAGAACTAATTTTTTAGAAGTTCCACTTTCATTGTCGTTCCAAACCTGCATGACTTTCTTTTGTTTTATCACTGAGGCGATCTTTAAAATATCTTATGTTTCACAGAAGGAAAGTCATACAGTTTTGGAAGGACACGGTGGTGAGTAATTGATAGATATTGTTTTTCTTTGAGATATAGGGTGGAAGTAAAGCATTTGTCTGTTGTTTGTTTTTTTCCACAATGAACTTAGGTGATCTCTTGTGCCTCCAAATGTAACCCTCTTCTCACAATGGTGCTGAAGGAAACCCACTTAATGTGATTTGCTCAATCATATAATCCTCTAGTCTCAAACTAGGAGAAATCCAGGATCCCCATTCATCTTAATACCCGAATTTGTAATCTTGTTATGGATGGATATTAAAAGAACAAGCCTCATATTCTTCAGTGTACAAACCAGTGAAAGGCAGAGTTGGGTTTTTTAGTTTGTGTCCAAGGCGATTTAAAGCGACTTCCAGCTCATTGAAATGTTATCTTTTGAATTAAACCTATTGTTTTGGTGTTTTTACCACCAGTTGAGCTACAGGAACATACAGATGATCCGTTTTAAACTGATGCTCTTGATTCATCACTTCATATATACAATTTTGCACATTACATACTAATGCCATCCTGCCAGTTGATGTTTCAGGTGCATTTCCTGTGGTTTCCCCTCAAAACAAACTAGTTATTTGTTCAGCAACTACCTCGACACATTGATTCAATAACTAATGTTGTACAGACACATAGGTAGTTAATATGACCGTATTGGCATGTATTAACTGAGACTACATTAAATGTTTGTACTAAATTAAGATGTATTTATTTACATATTTGAAAGATGATGACCAGTTTTGTGCTTAAATATACACTTTCTCTGTTTTATTACACAGAAATTAAATTATTTAAAATCTTGATGTTGAATAAAAAAAGTGAATGTCTATGATTTTTCTTCGATATGAATATGACTAATATTAGGTGAATTAGGTCAATTAAATCTTTTTGAGATTTACCACCATATGTATATTTATACACATACTAATACTTATATGGTCTTATGCGAGTAGTTTTTACTCTCTCTATGTGTCTACATAACTGCCATAAAGGCAAGAAAATGTTCACAATAATACAAAAACTGAACTTTACTTTTGCTTTTTCTGTCAACCTGCAAAAACAAAAGGGCTTTCAGTCGATAGCAACTTTTCAGATTATGATTATAGTGTCATTCTGGGTGATCCAGTGATCTTTTGAAAGATATGTAATGGAATTACAGTATATGTTTTTGCATTTTCTTTAGTTACTCGTTGCATCATACCCCAAAAAAACCCAGAGGCTGTAATTGCTGCCAAAGGTGCTTTGATGAAGTACAGAGTTAATACTCTGAATACTTTTGTCAATGTGATATTTCAGTTTTTTCTCTTTAATCAATTTTTAAAAATATAAAAGTTATCAAATCTGTTTTTTTGTTTTGTTATGGGGTATGGAGTGTGTATTGATGTGAAAAAATTAAAGCATTTTGGCACAGGCTGCAGAATAACAAACTGTGACAAAAATGTATATACACATTTTATATGCACATATATGCCATTTTGTATGGGTTTAATAATTCACAATACCAATAAAATACCTCATGTACCCCAGTGTCCACATGACCCTTGGACTCAATGTGAAGTTCTCAGTTCTTCAGTTACACCTCAAGATTTTTGACATACCTGCTGAAGGTGGATGAAATAAAAGAAATGGTCATTTAATTGATTAATTAAAAAAAAGAGAAAGAAAAAGAAATGAATACTTTTATTGATCAAGAATGCACTAAATTGATCTAAAGTGACAGTAAAGTAATTTATAATGTTACAAAAAAAATTCAAAAAAATACTTTCTATTTATCAAAGAATCCTGAAAAAATGTATCATGGTTTCCACAAAAATGTTAAGCGGCAAAACCAATAATAATAATAATAAAAATAATGATATAATGGCTGATGATTGAGTTCAGCTGCCATGTGCTCTCTTGACTTGACACATAGCTTTTGCTTGTTGTTCCCATGAGCTCTTCTGTTGGTCTCATATCTGGGTTCAGCTCTTTGTCACTTTGTTTTTAGTTAATTTGCCTTACCAGCTCCATTCATTGCCCTTCACATTTCCTTCCCTGCCTGTTCTTGTGCCAGATTGTTGTTGTGCCCATGAATCCTTTCTGCTCTTTGCACATGCACCTATCAAAAACCAATTGAACAATACATTGAAATAAAAGGATTAGAGGATTGTGAATATTAAAATGATTATAGTTCAGTTTTGAGAAGCCTAATGCACCTATGCTTGCCAAACACTGATATAAGAACCCAAAGGCAAAACAATCTTTCACAACTGTTTCGGCAAAAGTGAGACTTCTAGTTTTTAGGGCTTTTCCCTTTTAAGTAGCTATATCCGCTTGGTTCGAGGTCATCAGTTTTGATACCAAGGAAGCATATGCAATTCTCTAGAAAGGATAATCAGTGGGCTTTCCTTCTGTGCGTGTGCATGTGCAGTTAAAGTGATCAATGTGAAGGATAAAGAAAGATTTAAATAAAGGCAGGCGATGGAACACAAAAGTTCTTTTCTGAAACATAAATTGAATCAGCGATTTCGTATTTAATTCTTAAGATGAGAATCTGGCGTAAACACACATCTTCTAAGCTTGTTTCTTTCTTTCTATTCAGAAAGAAACAAAAAGAGGGTCTAAATACAAGAGGCCTCAAACAAAAAAGCAGGACTCTGGAAGTCTTTTCATGCAGCCTTAAGTTGCTTCGTAAAGAATATTTACCATACACTGGGAACACTTAAGAAATTCGGTATTTAGATCAGGCAGTTTGCAGTAAAATGACAGGAATGATGCATGTTATGTAACAGGAGGAGGAGGATAGGGATCAGTGTGTAGATGTGTTTGAGAAGGAACAGGGGGAATATTCCTGCTGTATATCCCCCAATACAACGTAAGCAGTTCTAAGGGCATGAACCCCCTTTTATTCCAGGACTCCAAAAACAAGCTTGTGGGAAAGTTACCAATAGTGTCCTACCCAGAGCTGAGGAATGTTCAGGCGTGATTTGCATTCGTGTAAAACAGAGGTTCTTACCTCAGGTGCCCCCAAAACCACACACTTGATTCAAAGTGCCTGATGTTTACATTTACATTTATTTTCAGCATCATTACTATATTATTACTCTGCTGTAATCTGCTAAATGCAACAAGGCATGTAGATATTAAGATATTATAAACGCTTAGTATGAAAATAATTGCTCCAATACAGACTTTAGTGCAAGGTTAATCTTGTAAGACCTTCAGGTGAAGAAATCTATTTGTAAATGATTGTTAACTTGAGTACAACTCATGAAGACCATTTCAAATGAGTCACATAAGAGCTTCGACTTCATGCAACCAGTGTAGACAGCAAAGCTTTATTGAACATTAGAGGATCTGTCTGCAATATGAACCATTCCAGCTCTGATTCCTCAAACGGCTTCAGTACAAGATCTAAAATATATTTATAATTACAGACAAGCACACATACTCAATCTTTTGTGGTTTCGGTTCATATGTCAGTTGGGCCCTTTCAGAGGGAGCTTGATTGTGATACAGAACTCAGCAATTTACATTTACATTTACATTTACATTTAGTCATTTTGAAGACGCTTTTATCCAAAGCGACTTACAATTGGGGAAATTCATAAAGCGATTCTTCTTAAAGAGGCAAACAGACACAGGAAGTGCTTAAAATGCCAAGTTTTAGGCATTGTTCAAATAAGTACAAGCTAGAAAGGGAAGGAATAAATAAAGAGAAAGAATTTTTTTTTTTTTAATATGAAGTCACGTAGCGTTTAAAGAGATGAGTTTTCAGCTGTCGCTTGAAAATTGTCAGGGATTCAGCATTCTGGATAGGGGTGGGAAGATCATTCCACCAAGCAGGAACGGTGAGCGAGAATGTTCTGGAAAGTGATTTTGAGCCTCTCTGTGATGGTGCCACGAGGCATCGCTCACTAGCGGATCTCAGACTATGCTGTAGAGTTGGAGTGGCAGGGAAGACAAGAAGCTCAGTCTTTGCCAGGTTGAGCTGTAGGTGATGTTCTTTCTTCCATGCCGAGATGTCCGCCAGGCAGCCTGAGATCCGTGCAGCTACCGTTGGATCATCTGGTTGAAATGAGAGATAGAGCTGTGTTTCATCAGCATAGCAATGCTAGGAGAAGCCATGTGCCTGTATGATGGGACCCAGTGATGTAGTGTACATGGAGAAGAGGTGACACACTCTCAAAAAAAAGGTACAAAGCTGTCACTGGGGCAGTAAAGTACAAAAGCTAAAAGGTACATCTTTATACCTTATTTACCCCTAAATGGTACATTAGTACCTATTCGTACCTTAAAAGTAGCCTACCTATTATACCCTTTGAAAGGGTACTGCATAGTGACAGTTTTGTACCATTGTTTTCTGAGAGTATGTGAACTCAAAAAACACATTAGCACTAATGCAGCGACATGAAACCTGAGGACCTCTGTTCATGCCAGGGCCAAACTCCAGTGTCCAATCCCCTTCGCTGATCCCTAACCTCTCCCGTGGACCTTTAAAAAGTCGATGCGCACCACTCATCAGTGCGCATTCGCTCCGGTCTGCGAGCACCTCCACATCTACAACACACTCCTGACTTTACCTTGGTAGCACGTTGTACAGTCTTTGGCATGGCTCTTCAAAGCAATATTCTGCACTTGGCCCGCAAGAGTCTGCTCCAGGAGTCATGCAAGCAGTTTTTCTTCCAAACCAACGGGCTGCACAAATCCGTGGCGAGCAGCTCTCTGGAGATCGCAGCGCACAGTGAGGCGGATGTGGAGGAGGAGAACATGGTGCGCCCCACCGCTGAGGAGCAGAAGGTGGAGAGAGGGAAGACCCTCCATGAGATGCCCGGACCCAGCGCTATCGCGAACCTCACTGAGTTCTTCTACCGGGATGGATTCAGCCGCATCCATGAGATCCAGGCGAGTCGACAGCGGTCAAACGGGACCACCGTTACGCGTTACCTTTTGTGTTTGCATTTCAATGGTGTTTCTTCAAGCGCACAGTTCACACCTTCAATACACGTTCAATGGAAAAGACCCAGACGCAATCATGTAGGCTCATCCATATGGTTTCATTTATCAAAAAGGCCACATATTCAAGTTTTACCCTCTTTATTTGCTGACTCTCTGTAGCCTATTCACTGTAACTTTACCTCTGTGACTTTTTATTTTACGATCTGGCACAAAAAAAGTGCCAGAAATTGCCAGTGCCAGCAATTGCTGTTGCACAAACGATAAATAAACTTAGATTGATTTGTTTGGAACACAATCAAGATTCGGCTATGTAATGTGCAGTGCGGACACGTGAGGTGTTGAATTACTTTTGGAGTTGCATAAACCGGCGAGTACAGTCTCCACCCCATCGCGAGGGACAATCGCAAACCTTATTTTATCCTGGGCGCAGTCTGCATGAAGGATCAAATTCGAATTATATAGCATGCAATACGGTGTCACGGCCAAACACCTCAAGAATGACCAGCTATAAAGATTGCCAGCTGTCCGACAGAGATTTGCGCCACTCAGGAATGCACATTGTAGCCCATATACATACCGAATACATACTGAAAAATTGTAACCTAAAAATGCTAACATCTATTATAAGTTTTAACATCTAAACTAGTTTTATTCAAGTCAAAAATATTATTTAACACTAAAATACGTTAATTTATATGAACAAATCAAAATATTATGGGTTAAATTGGGCAAAAATATATATCGTTAAGGTAATAATTGTATTATACACTCTAAAAAATGCTGGGTTGTTTCAACCCAACTTTGGGTCAAATATGGACTAACCCAACTTTTGGGTTAAAAATTGAAGGTAAAAATGTAACCCAACGGCTGGGTTAGTCCATATTTGACCCAGAGTTGGGTTGAAACTACCCAGCATTTTTTAGAGTGTACTAGACAAATTTAATCAGTTATGAAAACTGTTTCTACCAAGGAGTAAATATGCATAATCATTTGTAATTAATAATGAAATGATGTATCTTGATTTCCTCTCAAATTGCAATTCAGTAAATTCCTCTTCATGTCATTTCAATTCAACGTCCTGTGGAATGTGCACTCTAAAAAATGCTGGGTTAAATATAACCCAGCGCTGGGTTATATTTAACCCAGCATTTTTTAGAGTGTGGCCAGTGAAATTCAAATTCTAACTAATGCATTGAAACAGAGCCAAAAAATTCCCCAGTACTAATTTAAAATGGCCAGTGATGACTGACATTGGTTTACATGTATATATTAGGGATCAGTTATGTTGTGCAACGAAATTGTCTTAGGACTGTGAAAGGTGAGAAATGTCTTCCAGGATTTTGCTGGCTGAGGAGACACAGAGGTGCCTTTGTGTTTTCATAGTATGAATGGTACAAATGACTTGAGAAGGGGGATGAAAGTGGGCAAGATTGCAGCGAGGGCCGTATTTGCAAATGGCTGCATGTATTTGCAAATGGGCCATTCATACTGGGAAATGCTCCAGTTGACTAACAGTCATGTGGTCTTTGGGGAGACCTAGATATTGTCAGTCAGGAAATGAGTGATGTGATATGGGCAAATATATTTTATTGCTGCATCACTTATGTTGTTTCCATTCTTATTTCAATAAAGCATTTATAGTTTGAAGGAAAGCCAACATTACAGCACATACACTACATCAGTAAGCTGATCTAAACAAATGACTTTAATGCAGATTAGCAAAAACAAGAACAAAACAAATGGTTCAAGCGCATTTCTGAGATCCACATTGATCAGGTTTACAAATCTTCTTGTAGTTGAAGCATTCTCAGAAGTATGGGAAGATCTTCAAATCTCGATTTGGACCTCAGCTGGTGGTGTCAATCGCTGACAGAGACATGGTGGCACATGTTCTCAGGTCTGAAGGTGTGACTCCTCAGAGAGGCAACATGGAGTCCTGGAAGGAGTACAGAGATATGAGGGGAAGATCCACTGGACTTATCTCAGCGTAAGTACATACTGATGTGCTTTCTTGAGGGGTGCTGTGGTCTAGTGATTAAAATCTGGGCAGGTAACTGTTGTAGGTTTGCCGCTTCGGATTAAAATGGTATGCTGTTGTTAAATAGTTTGGAGTAAGTACGATTTTTGATACTTTTCTTGATCAAAAGTGGTTACAAACGATTGATTACAGACAGGGCCGTTTCTAGGCATAGGCGAGCTAGGCGGTCGCCTAGGGCTCCACCAGCTGAAGGGGCGCCAATGAGTGCACGTACTGGCACTTTTAGCAGGGTTGTGATAAAGAGTGGCACGGTCACCCTGAAATATGACTGCCGCCATCAATTCATTCACTTCCAACAGCGCTTAATGGGAGCAGCGTCATTGAGGGCAGAGCGTCACGTTATTTGAAGGGGACGTTAACGCGTTAACGAGTAGCAAATCCAAATTGGCTAGAAACGGCCCTGATTACAGATGTTTTCTATTTCCAATAAATGCTGTTCCTTCATCAAAGAGTCCTAAATAACATCATGGTTTACACAAAAATAGAAAGCAGCACAACTGTTTTCAACATTGATAATAGTGACAATGTTTCTTAAGCATATTATAATGATTTCTGAAGGAGTGACTGGAGTAATCGCTCCTGAAAATTAAGATTTGAATTGAAATCGCATCATATGACCCCTTTAAAAAATATTTGAAAAATCTTACCGACCCTTGAATGGTAGTAGGTAAATGACTAATTAGTATTAGTGTGCAATATCCCAATATTTTTTTTATTTTGATTCTTGTCTCTGTTAACAAATATACAATGATTCCTTTCTCCAGCGAGGGTGATGAATGGCTGAAGATGCGCAGTGTTCTGCGCCAGCTGGTTATGCGGCCCAGAGACGTGACTGTTTTCTCCCCTGACGTCAACGCTGTGGTGGACGACCTGGTGGAGAGAGTGAAGACACTGCGTAGCCAGCAGGACGACAGACAGACTGTCCTTAACATCAATGACCTGTTCTTCAAATATGCCATGGAAGGTGAGCCTGAGGGCACAGTGTGCATTTTTGTGGTAAATTCTATTTGGGTATTAAAGGTGAAGTGGTCTGATATATGAAGTTTTATGCTTTGATCACAGGACAGGATTTGGCCGTCAGCCAATGTCACTCAGAGGTTTCCTTTCATAGTGGTTTAATTTCCTCCACCAATGCTGTGGGGATTTTTTTAATTAAAAGAGGAGAATCAGGTAGCATAGTGGTCTTTCTGGAAAGAAATATGAGGGCTTTGTATGAATAAAATTTGATCCAGCTATTTAGGGAGTCTGAGTCTGGGTGTGAATCAGATGTTCCACAGACAGATAAGGATTTTTTGGGGGAGATTTGTTTTTGGATTTGGAGTTTTTTAGTGTAGTGTGTTGTTTTGTCACCTTTTTACATACTTATATAGCACTTTATACAAAACAGATAATTTTAAAGCAGCTTCACAGTAATAAACAGGAAAATAAAAGTGACGATGCAAAGTTCATCAGTGATGAAACAACTTAAGTTTAGTGTTATTAATCAGCTCAGTTCATTCAGTTCAATATTGATTTGGTTTCATTCAATAACAGTGTCAATGCTGCAAAGTTCACCAGTGATGAAACAACTGCAATTTTAACTATAAAGCAGGCCTATAGAAAATAATAGTGTCAAGAATCAGCTCAGTTCAGTTCAGTGAGACTCAATATGGTAAGTCCAAAAATGGGAAGCAATATGACATGAAAAACACAATGTTGAACTCTTTCCTAGGTGTTGCAACCATTTTGTATGAAACCCGCCTGGGCTGCTTGGAAAATGAAATTCCCAAGATGAGTCAGGAGTACATTGCTGCACTGCACCTCATGTTCAGCTCTTTCAAGACCACCATGTACGCCGGTGCCATTCCCAAATGGCTGCGCCCCATCATTCCCAAACCCTGGAAGGAATTCTGCAGTTCATGGGACGGCCTCTTCAAATTCAGTAAGAGCAGAGGGAACTGTGGTGTGGGGTTCAGTGCCACTATGAGACAACTGGTCTTCTACAACTACTACAGTTTTTGCTACAGTTTCTTGTTAAAAGTTTGTATAAATGTGTGTTTTAGGCCAGATCCACGTGGACAAGAGGCTTTCAGAGATCAAAAAGAAGATGGTGAAGGGCGAAGAGATTAAAGGGGGGTTGCTGACTCACATGCTGGTTACCAGAGAGATGAATCTGGAGGAGATCTACGCAAACATGACAGAAATGCTTCTGGCTGGGGTTGACACTGTAAGAACTGGTCCAAGGGCTGCTGGGAGTCATTGCTTCTAAACTTGTTGTTCATGACTCGTAATTTGGCACAAATTCAGCGGTAACCCAAATTAATCGAGTGATACAAGGTTGCTCATGCCTTGACTGAAGTTATGCTGCAATATTTCCAAGTAGTGAATGCGTGTGTGGCGATTTAAGAAGCCAGAACATGTTGTGTATTAAGACAGCTGGAAAAATAGTTGCGTCTAATGGTGATGATAAACGGGTCTTCTCATCGGGACAGCATCTCAGGCGCCTCTTTCTCTTCCTGTGAACTCTTTTCAAATGGTCAAATCGTAATGGGTGTCCGACGTCTCCATGGAGACCTCTGTGTTTACCTGACCTAACGCTGACCTCTCTCCATACGTCTCACCCACATTATACAAGACCTGCCAAGACTCTCCAATTTCTCTGATGTGTCTGTTGGCATCCTCTTCTCTTTGATCTTTCCCTCTTTTTTCTTCCAGCCGTAGGATGAGCCAACGCCTGTCATGTAATCTTTCCCTCTCTGCCTGTCTGTCTCTCTGTCTTGCTTTCCCTTCACCTCTATGAGGCAGGGTGCCTGTTTTGGGTTCTTGCTCCAAAAAGAAATTAGTCACCCAAAAAGAAAAAGGTGAATATTGTAATCACTGGAGCTGAACGCACATGACAGCAGCAGTTTTAGGCCTAGATTTATCTGAGATAAAAGTAATGATGAATGGAGGGAAGCATGGCAGGTCTTTCATTACAGGATGAAGGAGTGTAGAGAGAGGATGATGTTGACTGGACAGTCTTTGAAAGGAGGCTGAAAAAAGCAGCATTTGGGGGTGGACAGGTTTGGGAGAATCAGTCCATGGGAGTGAATCAGTGGTTATGTAATGAAACGTCTTATGTAAAATATAGTAGAGCAGTGACAGAAATGACCATTAAGGGGCAATATTTGATTTCCAGGTTTTTTTTAACCTTTATAAGTGCAATTTTTCTAACTGCATTAAATGTATACAGCATCTTTTATGATGCTTTTTTAAATTTAATCAATAAATTCAATTAGAATAATTAGACATACTGACATGGTGTTGTCTTATTGTGATTGCTGGTACCAATCAGATAAAATCAGTATTAATAAAATCCATTTTTGCACTGCCAAAATGGCACAGAAGCTGCATTTGAAGTGGCATTTAGATGTATTTACATCTCTAGATGCAGCTCAGAGGTGGTATGAATGCATTTACTCTGCAATTTAACAATAAATAATGTTAAAATAAAGAAATATGAAATTACTATATCATGTATTATTTCCCCCATATCATGAATCCTGGGGGCATATTTATTAATTTTGCTGGCATTTTGCACAAAGCAGAGGAATTAGTGTAGATGTTACTAATCTCTAATAAGTCTTCACATTTTCTTCTCTCTGCAGACCTCTTTCACACTGTCGTGGAGCACATACCTTCTGGCAAGACATCCCATAATACAGCAGGAGATTTTTGAGGAAGTAGACCGAGTGCTGGGTGGACGTGTCCCAACCGGAGAGGATGTTGCTCATTTGCCCCTTATTAGAGGGCTTGTCAAAGAGACTCTCAGGTAAGCTCCGCCCACCACTCTGAAAAATTCTCATTATTTATTGCAAAGTTTATTGTATCTTATGACAGAAATACAGTGGTCATTCTAAAATTGCACAGTATTCATAAAGATCTGCAGAATGCCTAGTGTTGTTGCAATACACATTTTACATTCTGAATGTAATATTTAATTGTATTTTAAAAGCCTAACCAGGGACTGGGGCTGCAAATTAGCCATTGGCTAGAAGCCTGTATGTAGAGCATCTGTAATGTTATTCTGCTTCAACTAAATAAATAAATAACACTTCCCTCTGTCTCTGTAATGCATATAGGATTTTCCCTGTTCTTCCTGGAAATGGACGCGTTACACAAGATGATCTGATCATCGGAGGTTATTTTATCCCTAAAGGGGTAAGAACATATATCATGTGACTGTATGTGTATGCAAAAGCATATTTTTATATGCTTGTCTCATAAACACGTGTCAAAACCTGCCCCTGCTAAGCTGAAGCATTGTTTCAAGCCTTGACCTGGATATAAGTAGATATGGTGTGCCTAGAAAAAACACAGTTGTCACAGCATTACTTATCTTAAAAACACTTTAAAAGAAAACGATTGTTCTGGAATAAGTGAATAACTGAAATCAGTGGTTCTCAACCAGGAGGCCGGGGCCCACTAGGAGGCTTCTGTAAATTTCCAAGGGGAGGCATTTTAAGAATTAGTTATTTAAATTCTAATCTGAAAGAATAGCAAAATAATAAATATTAAAATAATTTAATAATTACAATTGTAATGCTAAAAACACAAACTGTCAATAACTATTAAATTAATAACTGATAACTAAAAATCAGTAGCTGTTGTCTTTATTTGAAGAACATACATACTTGACACTTGAATCATGGTACATTAATTTATCATTAGTCTCAGATTATGTTCAATGAAAAACTAACAATTTTGCTGTGTTCACAGACTCAGCTTGCTCTGTGTCATTACTCCACCTCTATGGATGAGGAGAACTTCCCCCGTCCCGGAGAGTTCTGCCCAGACCGCTGGATTCGCAAGGATGCCTCTGACCGTGTCGATAACTTCGGCTCCATCCCGTTTGGCTACGGCATCCGCAGCTGCATCGGGAGGAGAATAGCCGAGCTTGAGATGCATCTGGCTCTCACACAGGTGCGTGTTTGGATATGTGTCTCAAAACTCAGCATCAAGCAAAGATCTAAACCATAGTGGTGCTATTATTAAGCAGCTATTATAAAGACAGATATAACTTGTATGTGGATTCTAATTCCCTTGTCTAATGGTGTATTGATGTTCGTCTCCATCACAGCTCCTGCAGAAGTTCCACATTGAGGTGTCTGCCCAGACCACTGATGTGCGTGCTAAGACTCATGGCCTGCTCTGTCCGGGAGTACCCATCAACCTTAGATTTGTGGACCGAAAGTAATCTGCTATTACACTCTGTGTGAATTTAAACCATAATCCATACAAAGACTGTTAGCGTCGTTGTGTATTATAGTGCCTCTTCCAGCTTTTATCCAGCGAAGAATGTTGCTTTTGTTTATGTGTGGAGTGCCTCTAAGATTTTTTTAATAGTTTGCTTGTGTGAATGTTTATAGCCAATCAGAAGACCAAATATTTTGAACAGGCACTATTTTATATAGTTGAATCAATGCGAATTGCTTTGAGAATTGCGTTTTAAAAATGTTATTATATTTTTCATTTACAGAATTCATTTACATCATACTAGCAGTGTAAATTCAGCCTTAAGAATTAGCGTGAAATATGGTCAAGAAGGCCTTGTATGTAGATGTTTTACTATTAAATTAGCTTTAGTGCTAAGCTCATTATTTATTTAACATGGCACACTTATATAAGCTTAATGACTTCTAGCTTACAAGCAGAAAATTCCTAAAGCAAACGCGAGTGAGAAAATCCTATTACAACTACAAAGCTACTTTAGAAGATTAAAACCCTGTCCTGTGGGCACTAATATTAACCTAAATATTGTGTAAAGAAAACAACACAGCAATGTCCATCTTGATTTCAGTGTGGCTATAATTATCTAATTTGTTATTCAAGAGTGATTTTGTGTTGATTTCACTAAAACTCTTTAGTGGAAAACATTTTAATGTGAAATGCCTCTTTTTTTTTTTTAGTGCACTAGCCTTATAGGCAACAGATGGTTAATGGGAAATGGTGAAAATGAACTTTTTTGGGGGTCAAAATTAATGTTGTTTCTGAGAGTTGTGAAATTACTCAGTAATGTATTTGGAAGTGTTGGATATGTGGAAATGTGTAAGTTACAGAATTTTGTACGAATAAATTACCCTTTGAAGACCTGCTGAGTTATTCATATGTTGTTTGTCCGTTTAAACACACTATTTAGGGAAAAAATCATTATAGTCTTTATTGTCACACTTACCTGAACTACATGAAAATGAATAAAAAATTGCCTCTCAGAACTTTTACACTAAAATGCTGTATGTAACACTGACTCAGTAAAGTCTGGCCTTCTAATTGTAATTTAAAAATGTCATTATTTATTAAACGTTGATGGACTGATGACACATAACACTTCTGACAAAAAAAAAGTAAATGCAAAAAAAAAAAAAAAGTAAATGCATTTATTATCTCTATGTAGTCCCTATCTTTATCCACCAGATGGCAGAATGGTTTGACGAACAGGAGTAAAGAGGAGGACAAATAATTGCTAAATATTCCAACAGACTCAAGTCAATCGTAAATGTCTCATTTGCCATTAGCCGAATTATCTAAATTACAAATAGGGCGGTTATATAAATATAAAGTTTTGTGTATGTATATATATATATATATATATATATATATATATATATATATATATATATATTATGTATGGGCTCTAGTTTACATGTCGGTCAAAAGTAGAGCCTCAATGGGCGGTTCTTGTCGGGAGTGAATGACAACAGACACTATTGGATGTGCAGAGAGCAAATCTGCGGTTCTAATAAAAATGATTTTAATGCGCATGAAAACTCAGTGATTATGCGTAAGTTACATACAGGGCATAGTAATAAAGACATTTGGGGCTTTACTGAAAACATTCGGGGCTTCAGCCCCCTTAGCCCACCCCTGCAAATAACCAAAAGAAATATGTCAAATAACGTTACATGCTCTTGCCAGGTTTTCACAACAAAACCCGCCCAATTGCTACTCAAAACTAGCATGTAAAATAAACGTTTTATGGTGGGGTTCCCCTAGTAAAATTCGCATTTTAGGGGCTAAATATGACGCTCTTGTGGTCGCTTAAACCCGCGGAAACAGAGTAGCGTGCCTGTGAGGTGCATCAAACTTGTGCCTGTAAATCAAATGGGAGTTATTTAGCAAGAAGTCCATGTTCTGATTGGTCGAGAGGAAGCGAACCACGTTCTCTGAATGGCTAGAACTCGACACTGCGAGTCTCTGGCCATCCGAGGCATAGATATGCATAGGTAGATATCTCATTCGACAGCTCCAAGCACGCAGAAGCGTCCGACATCTTGCAACGGTCAACTTGACGTCATTCACCATAATAATCTATGAATATTCGAAGAGTACAGCCGATGGTTGTCAAAACCGCCGGGATTTAAATTCCCGAAGAAACGAGATAACCTTTCACAGGTGAGAATGCGAGAGAGGGGCGGAAGAACCATAGGATTGTGAGCGAATGACGTCAAGTTGACCCTTCCAACGAATCTATATAATATAATGTTCTCTATTATAGATCAGTGATAGCGGCCCATAGAAACAGTCGCTAATGAGGCATCTACATGTACACTCTATGATCCGAGGCATTCATTAGGTGTCAGTCGACAGAATGGCGCTGTGGAGTCACGTGAGTTGTTTGAGTCAAAGGACAGCGGTGCTGTTCTAAAGCAGTGTGTGTGTGTG